CTTGTATAATCTCCTAAAAATTGGGGCTAAACGTCTCCTTAAAATAATCTTAGAATATGTGGATGTTGATTTGTTCATCCTATCCATCCTTCCCACCAGTTTTACTTTCTCCCTACCTCTCTCTGTTCTCCTATATGAGAAAGAACTTTTTAAATTTTTTTGAAATAATTTTATATTTATAGAAAAGTTTTAAGACTTGAGAGAATTTCTGTATACTCTTCCACTGTGTTAATATGTTTCCTTTTCTTTTAAGATTTTATTTATTTATTTGAGAGAAAGAGAGCCCCAGCAGAGAAGCAAAGGAAGAAGAACATTTCCCACTGAGCAGGGACCCTGACCCGGGTCTTGATTCCAGGACCCAGAGAACATGATCTGAGCCAAAGGCAGATGCTTAACCGACTGAGCCACCCAGGCACCCATCCTCTATGTTAATATCTTTTATAGTCTGAATACATTTGTCAATACTATGAAATTAACACTGGTATATTACTATTAACTAAACTCAGACTCTATTTGGATATTAGCAGGTTTCCCCCTTTTTCTGATCCAGAAACTAGCTCAGGATCCTACGTAGATTACATTTAGTCATCTTCTCTCCCTCCTCCTTTAATCTCTGACAGTTTCTCAAATGTTCCCTGTTTTTCACAATCCTGATGTTTTAAAGAGGACTGGTCAGGTGTTCTGTAGAACGGCCCTCAACTAGGGTTTGCCTTATGTTTTTTTCATGATTAGACTGGACTTAAGGGTTTTTAGCAAGAAAACCAGAGGTGAAGCCCCTTCCCATAACATCGTATCAGGAGCACATGAGAGCGACATAACTTAGCAGGTGGTGTTAATCTGAATCACTTGGTTAAGACCTTGTCTGTCAGGTTTCTCCACTGAAAAGTTGTTATTTTTCCCTTTCCCTATTCTAGTTTTGGAAGCGTGTCACTAAATCCAGCCAATCTAATGGGGAAGAGAATTAAGCTCCACCTCTTAGAGAGAGGGTTATCTACACATATATATATATATATATTTTTTTTTTTTTAAGATTTTATTTATTTGACAGAGAGAGAGATCACAACTAGGCAGAAAGGCAGACAGAGAGAGGGGAAGCAAGCTCCCTGCTGAGCAGAGAGCCCGATGCGGGGCTTGATCCCAGGACCCTGAGATCATGACCTGAGCTAAAGCCATAGTCTTCACTCTCTGAGCCACCCAGGTGCTCCAACATATATTATTTGTGATATAATCACATCTTCTTTCTTTTAAATCACAGAATGACCCATCATTTAAAAAGAACAGCTCAAAGAGTCCCTAAACATATGTGAACATATTGTTCTAATTTTGTATGTATAACTATTAAAAATATTAAATAGGGGCACCTGGGTGGCTCAGTCAGTTAAGTGTCTGCCTTCTGCTTGGATCATGATCCCAGAGTCCTGGGATCAAGCCCCACATCGGGCTTCCTGCTCAGCGGGAAGCCTGCTTCTCCCTCTCTCACTCCCCCTGCTTGTGTTCCCTCTCTCACTGTGTCTCTCTCTGTCAAATAAATAAATAAAACCTTTAAAAAACCCATATTAAATAGTACATTCTTTTAAAATTACCATGTGGAAATTGTCTATACATATGAAACATTGCAGTTTTCTCTCTTGCCTTCATGAATAAAACAAGTTATTTTCTTCTTTTGTGCCCAAGGTTGACGGGGGTGGGGGGGCACGGGGTGGAGGGGGGCTGGCTGGGAAGAAGAAGCTGAATCATTTGTTAGGGCTCTTTTGTTCCCAGATTCTCCTAGAACTTTCTTACTGGGTTTGAGGGACCCTTGTTTGTCCTCACTCTTATCCAGGAATCACAAGAAAGTCACAGTGTTCTCAGACAAAATTAACTAAGCTTCACCTTTATTTTCCGAATGCATATAAGCTAGTTAGCACTTTTAGAAAGGGGGGGCAAAGGAAATCGTACTGTCAGCAAGTAATGATACACAGCAATTCTAAAAAGATGTTAGAAGTCACTGAGAAATCAGTATCCATGAAAACCATTTAAAAAATATTTAATGTTCTTGGGGCTCCTGGGTGGCTCAGTCAGTTAAGTGTCTGCCTTCAGCTCAGATCATGATCCCACAGTCCTGGAATTGAGCCCCACATTGGGCTCCCTGCTCAGCAGGAAGCCTGCTTCTCCCTCTCCCTGCTGTTCTGCGGACTTGTGCCTTCTATCTCTCTGTCAAATAAATAAAATCTTTTAAAAAATTTTTAATGTTCTTGAATGTACTCTTAGGAGTGTCTTTAATCCTGTGATGATTAATAGTTCCATATTGTTTAGTTCAGGCAGATACTTCCTGACCTTTACTCTCTTTGTCCCACACTTCTTCCCTCCCCTAATCCTTACCTGATGCTAAATTATTAACGTGTGTTCCCGATCTCCTAAGCAGAAGCTTTGGTTTATGACTCGGACCAATACCTTATGTCTTACCTAATTATCTAAGTATGTGTTAGTGCCCTTCACCTGACATTAAGAAAATAAAATGAAGACACGTGCACAATGTACCACAGGTGCTTCGGCAGTAAATGCCTTGCCGCCGCTCACTGACTTATGCGGGCCGCGGATCCATCAGCGTTGGTCCCCACGCGTGAGCCACCCGTTGCTCCGTCTCCGATCGCTGGGTCCTCCTGGAATCCGCCGCCTTTTGCAGCCACTGTTCACAAGGTCTTGGCCACAGCGCGTTCATTTCTCTCACTTTATTACCATCACATCTGATTCCAATTTGCTCCCAAATTGAGTTTCCAGTGCCGAGTCTGACATTCAAACTGTCAGGTGGATTAGCTCCCTCAGCTTGGTTAGCGTGGAGGCTTCAGGTCAGTCGACGGTGGCCGATTAAACGTCCTCTGCTCCTCGTCCTGGAGCACCAGGTTACCCACCGTGACCTTTCTCCTTGCTTGGAGCTCATCATGCTAGATGCTGGGCCTATTGGAAAGACTTCTGATTAAAAACAGAGTTGGTTTTTATCCCTTATCTTGCTGTTTCAGCAGGTTTTTTTTTTTTTTTTTTTTTTTTTTTTTTTTTCCCTTCTCAGAGCAGAGCAGCCAGCTTACGGTTGGGTCATTTGGTGGACTGTGATTGATTGAACTATTTGGGGATCATTCATTTGGCCCTTTGCCTCTCATATCATGAGTGATCTATTTGCATATGGAGTTGAAATAACATCTGAATGACTCTGTTATTAATGATAACCCATCAGCCCTGCCTCCTTTTCTTGCTGCGCTGTTGTCAGATCAGCTCACAGGACCACAGCGTTTCCTTTCTCAAGCTCTAGGCCTTTGCTGTGCAGCAGGCTTCCATAATTCCTTTCTAATAGACACACTGACCCGTGAACTATTGCTTCTAGGGAGTTGTTCTTCTCTTCCTTCTTTTCTCTTTTTAACCTGCAAACAAAACACATGTCTCAGTGCTTGTCATCACCAAAGATAGACTTGCTCATTGGTTTTCCATTTACATCTCAGTTCACAAGGAAAACAGGCTTGGCCAGAGACTTTTCATCTTGTCTTTAGGGGTTTTAGTAAATGAAGGTGCACTTAGGTTTCACAATCAAGCAACCAAGTTGAGCAAGCCCTGTAATTTCTCGGAGATAATCAAGGATTGGAGAAAAAAGCGAAACAAAACAAAAATACAGTGTTTCATCCCTGAACCTTGAGGCCCTTGAGAGGAGAAAGAGCTCCTGCTTCTAAAATGGTTTCCTTGTTTCTTCTTGTAATTAAACAGTGATAGGATTATTATAACTCTATGGGAATACATTTGCCAGTTAATAAGTAAGGCGTGTTACATTTAAAGCAACATCCTCCCCTCGGTCTGCTCCTTTCAAGGCCATGTTCTGTAAGCTGTGCTGGGATAAATTGTGCTGTTTAGAAGTAAGATCTGCGGTCACTGTCTGTGACACACATTTAAGGATCCAATAAAAATAGGGGACAGGAAAGGTGATTTTGAAGCCGAGGGGGAAACACCTTTCAAAAAAACTTCTGGAAGGCAAAAAAAGAAAGGAAAAAAAAAAGGTAATTATAGGAATGAAAAACTAAATTTAGTCAAGTCTTTCAAATTTATACTGGTTTTCTTTTGTTTGTTTGTTTGTTCAAATAGCCGGATGACTCATGGCTTCCTACTCCTTAATTATTGTTATCACGTAATCATTCCCGAGGACCAAAGCTTCTGAAATCTCCATTCCTTGGTGAAGATATTTCTGTATCCCTTTTTGTTTGTTTGTTTGGTTGGCTTTTTTGTTTGTTTGTTTGTTTTCACAGTCTCCCCTATAGTTAGGTGGATAGTGATCTTAATTTGTGATTAGTGTGAGATCACCCTTTTGAAGACTTTAAAGCACTCTATTAATTGTTGCTGTCTGGTTACCTTTCGAGAGATTCATTAACCTACTTTTAAATAACCAAAGACCTAAACTGCATTTATGTTAAGAAATGAAACCAGAAGGAAATCTTTGGCTTTATTTAGGCAAATCATAATAACGTGTAATCTTTGGTATGCACAGTGCCTTGCATGAGTTTATTTCTGTTATTTGCCTTGCATGCGTTTATTTCTGTTGGGGATTTCACTGTTTTGTTTGTTTGTTTTTGTTTTTTGTTTGTTTTTCATTTCACGTCTCATTTAATTATAATCCTGCAAAATTTCTTCTCCTCCTTCTATCCCTTTCCTCTTTGGATAAGTCCTTTGGTTCCTCCCGTTTTCCCAAAGCTCAATTTTAGGGCCATGGAGCTCAACTTAGTATCCTATTGTCCTTGCTTTGAGAGGATTAGTGCCTTTTCTGTTTTGGAATTTAGATGAACTATGTTAGTAATTTCAACACAGCATGTAAAGAGAACAATGTAAGAAGGGATCCAGCCTAAAATCATGACGTTAAAATATTTTCCTTGTGGAGAATGCTAAATCAAGCATAATGAAGAATTAGGCTATCTGTTTGGTGCCTTACTAGGCTAAGGTTAATGTGACCTCTCATGTAGATGTTTTGTTTTGTTTTTCTTTTGCAGAAGGAGCTCAGTCTCCCCAGAAGAGGAAGTTTGTAAGTAGCCTAATTTTGTTTCCTTATTATTACTATGTTGTACAGTTTGTAATGTGGTTATTCTCCAACTTGTTAGGATTTTCAGGCAAATGGAGGATTAATGATAATCAACTGAATTGAGGAAACAGACACTTTGCATTTACTTATAAATGTCACATATTCATGATTTCAGGATAAGCTGAAGAAACTTTCTAGATTTTGTCCTTATGGGCATTGTAAGCCAAAATGCTTACTTATTCCTGGGACAATCTTAATTAAAAAAAAAATTCTCTCAGGTAATCAAGCAAACACATTATTTGGTCTGCAAATGGTATAAATGGATCCAAGTCAAGAATTAGTGTTCTCCTATATGTTCCAGAAATCTGTGATTGTTTTTTATGCTATGGATTTTATGCAAAGGAAATGATAAACTTTTGCCATGATGATGAAGAATTTAAGTCAGCTGAACTTTCTGTTAGATCTGGATCTTATTGCATTGACTGTTGTCATGGTCTTATTTTAAAAATAGGAGATTTATAAACTTCAACTTGATTTCTTCATAGTTTGTTCCAACCTTTTGTTTTGAAGGCCAATAATATATTTGCATAAATCATAGTTTGTTTTGTTTTTGTTTTGTTTTACCATTAGCAAGTTGCAGAAGGAAATTAATTACCTCTGTGTTCCACTAAATTTAGGGTAGATTTGTTACCAACCAATGTTGTGTAAGGGCTGATCTAGAAATACTGGGATTTGGTATCTACATTACAGAATTGAGTGGATGGGCAATGTCCTTTTTATAGAAAAGTATAATATTTCAAGTAGGTAGATGCAGATCTCAACTTGAAGTATTAGAATTGTATATGATAATTGTTGGAAGATAGTATTTATTTTGTTTACCAATTTTTGGATTATGTCAGCTTTTGCACCTGAGAACCAAAATTTCATCTGCTATGAACATTTCAGTACTATCTATTTTGGTTCTTAATGTTTTACAGCTTTAGGCTGCCTGGAGGATACGGAATCATTGTTTTTGAAGACTGTGTCTGGATAAATTTTCACGGACTTAGCTTTTATCTGTGTGTGCTAGAGGTTAATGACCTAAAAGTTGGCTGTAGGAAATGCCTTTAGAATAAAAAACTTGGCTTCTTCTGAATCGTGATTAGGACTCTCTCCTAGACCTGGAAAAGTCCAAATATTTTGGTATTTCTAATCAAGATGAAAAATAAGAAATAAGAAAACCCGAAGTAAAACTACATGAAATATCTTACTAGGAAAAAAATCTCTTTTCCCTTGTACCTTTATTTAATGCTTAAATTATCCTAGGTTTGTCTTTAATACTTTATTTGAAAAGTTCAGAATTTCAGTCAGATTTTCTTTTTGCCTTTATATTAGGTTACTTTTTTTTTTTCTTTTAGTTTTTGAGTTAGTATGTTTCCTGTAAATTTTTATTAAGGTCATGTTAATTACAAATTAGGTTCCCCATGTCTATTTAAGGGCCACATCTCCTTTTGTAATATCTCCTTATCTCACATCTCCTTGTATAAGTCTGTTAATGTTAGCTGATAACTGTGGGTTGGTGGGAGAAAATAGAAGATACATTTAAATTTCTTGACTTGGGAGCATAGAATCTTTCATGAATAAAAAGGGTGACGGCATAAGTTTCTTTGACACCCATGGTTTGAAAACTTAAGAGAAACATAGAATTACATTTTAGTCATTTAAAATCTCATCCTTGGGGCACCTGGGTGGCTCAGTGGGTTAAAGCCTCTGCCTTTGGCTCAGGTCATGATCCCAGGGTTCTGGGATCGAGCCACGAATTGGGCTTTCTGCTCAGCAAGGAGTCTCCTTCTGCCTCTCTCTCTCTCTGCCTACTTGTGATCTCTGCCTGTCAAATAAATAAATAAGATCTTTAAAAAAAAAATCTCATCCTTAATAAAAGTCAATTGATACATCAATCAGATAATGGAAGTAAAACATAGCGTGTACATCAACATAAATCTACCTTTTCCTTTTTTAGTGAATTCTGTGGAAATTAATATTCCAAGTTAAAAAAAACGAAGATGCTCTTTTGTATTTTTTATTAAATATTCCCAGTAGAATTAATGGTGTATGATAGAGATGTTCTGGGACTTGACACCACTCAGCATTTTCATTGACCCCCATATAGAACGTTGGTAATTAATTTCCTCATGCAGTTATTTTATGACTTGGAGAAAAAGAATTTTTTTTTTGAAGATTTTATTTATTTATTTGACAGAGAGAGAGAGATCACAAACAGGCAGAGAGGCAGGCAGAGAGAGGTGGGGAAGCAGGCTCCCTGCTGAGCAGAGAGCCTGATGTGGGGCTTGACCTGAGCGGAAGGCAGAGACTTAACCCACTGAGTCACCCAGGCTCCCCAAAAAGAAAATATTTTTAAAAATAATTGCTAGAGTGATTTAATACAAATCTAATGAAAAATCTAATGAAGAAGGGCACAAGTCACACTTGCCAGCGTAACTGTTCCTGGTTATTAAAACTTGTTAACACTTAGTTCTTGTATTTACTGGTTAAACTCCTCTGGCATAAGTGTTTTCAGATCTTTTAGTATCTTCTCCCAGAGAGATTGAGGATTTGATTCCTCTGTTCTGTTGAATCTTGTTTCCATGTTAGCAGTAAGCAACTATACAGGGTGATGGATTCCTCATTGCTTGTAGTTACAAAGTGGTATGACGGAATGTGTTGGGGGTAGGATGGGGTGGGGGTGGAGGGGTAGGGGGAGGTGTGTGCCTTCAGAAAGGCTGTGCTCCTGGAAGAAGGTGCCTGATTTTGTTATACCTGGGGCTTCAACTTTGTATGTATTGAAGGATTATATTTTTAAAATGCATTGTCATCATTCAAGTACTTAGGGATTTATCAGATTTTTTAAAAGATTTAGTATTGTCTTACAGATAATTTTTATGTCTGGAATCACAAAAACATGTTTTATATATGTAAAAGTTAAAGCTCTCACAATAGATCAAAGAAAATAGGTTTTTCTTTTTATTATTATCTTAAAGTATAAAAAAACCAAACTGTCTTCTGTCTAGAAGATAATCCAGTTCCTCAGTAATTTGTAAAATATGATCATTTTCTCAAGAAATCACTTGAAATCTGTGTTGTTTCATATATGTTTTAAAAGGTTGCAAAGGGAATGATTGTGACCTTTTTTGTATGGCACAAAGGGGCAACGGAGGAGAAGTCAAAGGAACCGCTTTCCAGGCAAGGTGTTACTAAATAACCAAGTGACTCCAGATCAGTTTTCCAGAGGTTTTCTCAGTCCTTTATCAAGTTAAGAGTCCCAGATGTCCTCTCCACGCTGACTGCTTGGATCGCTGGACTTCAGCTAGTTGTCTTCCTCCTTTCAAGAGTCGCCATATGCTAAGACTTGATCCTAGATCCTTCCAGCACTTTCCATTTCTTTCTCTTTGGAACTAAAGTTGTGATACTCTCTGCTCTTTCTCCTATAAGCTACCTGTCAAAAACTGGAGAACCTTTGAATAAATCATGATATAATCATTCAGTGAAATACTACATAGCAGGTAGAATGAATGAACTGGAACATAAGTATCAACACATAATAGTATCAAAAATGTGCAGAACAAAAGCTAAAAGCAAATTGCATATACAAGAAAGTATTTACATGATAAAATTTTAAAGTATGCAAAATAAGACATTTGTTAGTGAATGCAAACATGTGCAGTAAAAATATAAAAACATGCATGGGCGACAAATTTACAGTACTAAATGCTACAGGGGTTTCATGTGTATAATTAATGAGGTAGGTACATGGATATTTACAGTATACCCTCTACATTTTGATATTCTTGAACTATTTTATTTAAAATACTCAGTAATTACATGAAGGTAAGATTTCAGACTGTTTTATCCAATATGTATGGAGATTTAACAATGATTTGAAGGGGAAAATTAGGTAAAGTTTACCTGTTTTGAATGAAAGGTTGTACCAAATCTGTATTTATTTTTGTTTTACTCTTGTTTTTTTTGTGACTTGAAGATTGGCTCAAATGAGTACAGCTTTACAGTCGCTGGAATATCTGCTGTGGCAGGTACCTTACTAGTTAATGCCAAAGCATCGTAATAACTTTTGGTACTCATGGAGAAAGGAGGCACATGAGACGTTATCTTAAATGGGACATTATGACATTTAGCTGCAGAATTAGATTTGTTGTCTTGAATTTTCAGCCCTTTAAGAGAAGTGACTGACTAATCTTTATCTATCATAAGGTGCCCAGTATGGTCACATACAGAGTATGGGTGTTGGGAGATGACCCACAATGTCTGTCTCCCCGAGCCAGACAGTGAGCCTCCCAGCAGAGTGACCTGTCCTGCTTTTGCTCTGAGTTCCTGTCACAATGTGTTGAGGACTCATAGTGATTCCGTGTCTGGTTGGCTCATGCCAATCATTCTTGGTTTAAATTCAGTGTGCAATACATAGGCTCTCTTGACATTCTTTTTATTTTCCTAATGACAATGAATCTAAACTGTTCATATTGATGTAAGTGCTCATGGTGTTTTGGGTCCCTTATCTAGTCTTTACCCATAGTTAGATCTTGGGCTCTGAAATGACATTTCAGGGCAAGAGGCAAGACTGGGAATTGTTTGTTTTCGGACAGAGAAGGTGCTAAAAACCCAAGATGAGTGGTGAGGAGTGAGGCCAGGGTGGCCCAGGCAGCTACATTTTATTTTTAAAGGACCCCTTTGTGTTTTGTTAATTGTCTGAGTGAACATTTCTCCCAGGCAGAACCTCTTTTTTCATAGAATTCCTCCAGGGAGATGTGCTGGATGTGGGCTGGAGGCCAGTCCCTCTCCTCCTCCGTTGTTTTCCAGCTATCTTTTAGATGTCTTTACACAGAGAAGGAAACTGCACTATCTATTCTTAGCAAGGAAATTCTCCTTGCTACTTAAATAGTGTTTCTTCTATGACTTTTAATCATGAACATAGAGGGCACCGTTTTATGGAGCCGGGTTGATGTAGAATTCAT